TAAGGATATCGTCAATGAAAACTATAACGAAATGATCGAGGTAGGGATGGAAAATACGGTTCATCAGGTCCATGAAAACCGCTGGAGCATTACTGAGGCCGAATGGCATGACGACAAACTCATAATGGTCGTAACGAGTACGAAAAGCGGTCTTAGAAATATCTGACTCCTTGATTTTCAGCTGGTGGTAGCCTGATCGCAAATCAATCTTTGAGAAGACATAGGCTGCTCTCAGCTGATCAAATAAATCGTCGATCCTGGGAAGCGGATATATGTTCTTGATCGTCAACTTGTTAAGATCCCGGTAGTCGATACACATGCGCATGGAACCGTCCTTCTTCTTGACAAAGAGAACGGGTGCTCCCCAATGTGACACGCTCGGCCGGATGAAACCGAGTCGTAATAACTCCTGAATTTGCGCCTTAAGCTCCTGCAACTCCTTCGGCGCCATTCGATATGGGGCTTTGGATACTGGCCCGACTCCTGGAATGAGATCGATAGAGAACTCTACCTACCGGTTAGGTGGTCCTCCGGGAAGTTCTTCTGGAAACACGTCCACAAACTCACGAACAATGGGAACGTCGTGAGGTGATCGTGCTTTCTGAGAGTCATAGACAAGGCTCACGAGATAACCCTGATAGTTGCCTCGTCGCAGCATCTTGGTGGCTTTCGCCATCGAAACGACATGAGGTAAGGAACGATTCTTAGTGCCAAAGAAGGTAATCAAATCGTCTCCCGGAAGATAAAGAGTAATCTCCTGGTCATGGCATCGGATGTCTGCATGATAATAGGATAGCTAATCCATACCGAGAATGAGGTCAAAATCCCTCATCTCGAGAACATATGCGTTGGTAGACAATATTCGGCCACCGATGGAAAGGCTGAGATCTGAAGCTTTAGCAGTGGTCACTATCTTTTGTCCCGAGGCTAAACTGACCTCGAGAGGATCGACAGCGGTAATGGCATTAACTCCGATGGCATCAAGACATCGTCGCGAAATAAATGAATGCATCGCTCCAGTATCGAACAAGGCAAAAACAGGAACATCATTAAGTATAAGCATCCCTGACATGGAACCTGGCTGCTGCTCTGCCTCGGCCTGATCAACTGCAT